TTCAAATTGATTTTGCAACCAATGAAATAATTCCAGCRTAATTTCGTTAAGAGCAACTTTGTAAGATAAACATATCGGTGAACATTAATAAAAACGTGAGTTTGGGATCGACTCTCATATTGACTGCAGAGTTCTTCAAAATCAAATCAAAAAAAGCAAGGCATAAACAATGGCGAAATATACATCGACATTTCTTATCCACTTCTTTCTGATCTACTATGCAAACGGCCTTGAAAAAAGTAGAGACCGGCCAAGGTGCCCGCTTGGAATTGTATCTGAAAGTGACATTGACCTTCAAGGGCACGGCTATAAATCGTTACCAAAGTCAGACCTGGTGACTTGCTATAACAGTTGCATGGATGATTCTCGTTGCCAATCGATCAACTTCAACATAGAAGTATTTCATTGTCAATTCAACAACGATACAAAACGACGACGCCCAGGGARAGTGCGTCCAAAAGAGAATACTGTGTACATCGAAAACGCAGAGAGACGTAAGTCTTCAATGCATGTTTTATTGTATTAAATCATCCCTGTAATGCTCCCAAGTGTCATTCCCATTTTCAGAAAATATTAAATGTTTTATTGAATAATATTTTTTTATAAGGACTCAAAGATTCTAATTTTTCTCATGACATAACATTTTTGCATATCAATATTGACTTGTCCTAATATCACGATATCGGGCYTTTTTCACTATGGATATCATGCAGTCCATGTTATAAAATTCTATCAATTTGAAAACTACAAAAACATTTTTTTGGTTAAAAAATAGGTTTTCTATTTTTAACGTTTGCTAGAAAAGTATATTAATAGTTTTTCTTTTAAGAAAAAGATTGACCATAAAATCGCAACTTCATTGTTTATGATTCACTGTAAAAAAAGGAGTGTTTAAACGTCAGGCAGCCTTATAAATTAAGGGAAATGCAATTAAGACCGAAATATTCCTTTTCAACAAGTTTCAAACACAAGCACGGCATTTTGAGATTTTCGACTGCCTGACGTTTAGTCACAGAACTAAACGTCAGGCAGTCAATTTTTGGTGTGAAAAATCGTCGTAAGAACCGTAATTTCAATTAATACAACAAGGAAAATGCAATAAAGACCGAAATAATACTGTCCGACAAGTTTGTATAGTCACAAGCAAGGCACTTTGAGATTTTTTGACTGCCCGGGTGACTGCCTGACGTTTAGTCCCAGAACTAAACATCAGGCAGCAAATTTTTTTGTGAAAAATCGTC